GCTAACTGCTCTGGAGCCATGCCGGGCGCTGATCAAGTTCCTCAGAACAAGGCTGCCCAGGGCACACTAGGATTGTCCCCTCCACAGAGGGGGACACCAGCTCAGAGACACAGGAACCCAAACCTGCTGCGTGAAGCAGCCCATGTGGCTCCAGAAGGCCTGGCCCCTAACCTCTCTCTCTGTGGAACTGCTTCTCCCAAGAGTGCTTAGCACAGTTCACAACCTCCGAATTCCAGACTCGACCACTGGACTTCACTCCCCCACTGCATGCAGCAGTTTATGAGCTCATACCAGTGGGGGTGCTCTCAACCTTACTCCACAGGAAAACAAATCCGTATTTGAAAGGAGGTCTGTGAAGTCCGGAACACCCACGCTAGCTTCAGCTCCGAAGACCTGTGTGCTCCTAAGTTCAAGGGTCGGGCTCTCTTGAGACAGAAGCAACACCCACCAAGTCTGTCTTCATCTTCTGAGTCCACAGATGATGGCCTTCCTGGGAGCCTGGGCACCCAAGGGGGCGTGAAAACTAGGCTCTTTCATTAAAGGAGAGGAGACCTAAAGAAAGCTGCTGTCACATCCTCCAGGGACGGCCTGGCCTGGGTGACAGGCCCGAGTGTAAAGAACGCAGTCTGCCTGCACTGCTGTGTTTGTGAACAGACTAGTCTGGATCAACTCCTCTGAACTCCTCCAACTAGAGAGAGCCAAGCCAAAATTCATCTGGCCGCCACTTCTGACATCCATGGCCTCTGTCCCTTCATTCTGCCTTACAATTGCACCAGAGGCCATCTACTTGGCTGAGGGAACATTTTTATCACTCTCGGAAATGGTTTTTATTCAAGTTTGACAGAGAAACACTTCATTTCCTTCCTCTCAAAGACACGGGAGAAAGCAGGTCTGTTTGTCTACCCAGGATTCCTTGGTGAGGAAATCCTATCTCCCCATATGCAGTTCCAAGGCTGTCCTGGGGACCCCAGGTTACCCATGGAATGATTCAGGCAATAATGAAAGGTTCCAGGACAGCTGGGGCAGCTGTCTTTCTCTTGTGGATTGTGGTTGCTGAAAAACCATCTTCCCTGTAGATTGAGAGGTGAGAATTAGATGGAGAGAAAGAATTCTGCAATCGGTGAGCCCTTTCTCATCCTAAGGACATTTTCCTTCCTTCCTTCCTTAGAAACCTTGAGAATGGAAGGACTCAATAAATTCCCTCTGCCTTAAATCTAGTTTGACTTGGATCTCTGTCCCTTGCAACCAAGTGTAATAATATAAAGAACTAAAAGTTTAAATTGCTGCCTTGACCTCCCACGGAAGGTGCCCACCTGTGCCAAATGCATATCCCTCTCTCAGCTTCTTTTACACCAATAAACATGTTGCCTTGGAGCCTCGGTCCTCTGCCTTGAACTCATGTCTTTCTTTTGGGCTCTGCCCCTAGCACAGACATGAAGAAAATGGGATTGTTCTCTTAACTGCAGTCAGTACTTTTCTTCTCAGAGATGTGTATTTAGTCACAACTGACAACATGCCCAGGTATCCCAAGTGCATCCTGGTCTTCCTAGTGATCAGCCCATACCTGGATGTGTACAATGCTGTTACTTCAGACAGTGGTTCTGAAAATAACTGGGTAGTCAGGCATGGTTGCTCACACACCTATAACCTCAGCACTGAGAAGGCTGAGGCAGGAGGCTGGCAATAGCTATGAGTTTGAAACTACTCTAGGCTATCCAGTGAACACCAGAACAGCCAGCCAGATTAAAGGGCTTCTTGTTTTGTTTTGTCAAGACAGGTCTCATTCTGTAGCCCAGGCTCACCTCAAACTCATGGCAATCCACCTTAGCCTTACCAACTGTTGGGATTATAGACATGAGCCACCATACCTAGCTCCCTAGAGAGATTTTTAAACTACCAATGCCAAGGTGCCATCCCAGAGATTTGATTTTAATCTAGAGAAGAGGTCCAATTTTCAAAATTCTTTCCCAGACAGTTAGACTGGCTGATTTCATTATATTTAAGCATATCTTTAGTGATTTTTCTAAGGGCCCAAACTAGACTAACTTTGCTGCCCATGATTTTTGATGGTGGGGCTGGGAAAAAGCAGGGAACCGTCTGTCCTTAGCATTCCCTGCAATGTTGCCAGATGTGTGGTGATGTCTGTTTGTGGAGGGCACGCACATTGGCCTTGTCTTCTGTGGCCTACTGAGAGCTCATAGCTGTGCCCACGCTGTGTGCGCCTTTAAGTCTTCTGTCCACATTGATTAAGTTATAAACATTCTGAAAAGCTTTAAAATCGAGATTTGACCTCCCCCGCCCCTTTTTCTTGCCATGATTCATTCCGCTAAATAGCAAAGATCGGTGTAACCTAAATAGTCTATGGCACGTGTATTCATTTACCAAGACTCCAGTAAGAAAGTACCATAAACCAAACAATTTAAAAGAAACTTGGACACAAAGATAAGTACAGTGTAGAATGTGAAATGCCGAGTGAAGGTAAAGGCAGAGGCCAGGGTAGGGACCCCGGAGACTGCCAGCATCCAGGTAGCAGAAGGTAGGGGAGAGAAAGGAACCAGTCCTGCTGAGGCCCTTTGGTTGGGTCCTCTTGCCAACCAGACTAGACTGAGAAACGAGTCAAGCGCGCCTCTGGCTGGGTCTGCAGTGGGTTTCCCGAGAAGCCTGGATAATAAGGGTGCCGACCTGAAGAGTGGGCTGATTCTTTGGTGGGTTCTTGATATAATGGCATTATTGAAAGGAGTCAGAGGATGAGAGGTGGAGCCGGTTGCGTGAAGTCTGTCAACGTTCTCGGGGGAGGGGGGTGTCTTATTTTGCTCTTGAGTCTTCCTGTATGGATCTCTGCTCCCCGTCCAGCAGGAAGTTACAGCTCTCTTCTCACACATGCTCCACCTGTTGCTGGAGCCACGCTGCCCTGCCCAAGCACACAGCATCAAGTAATCAGGAACCAAACCCTCTAAGACTGTGAACCAGGTAAGTCCTTCCTCCTCTTTTAAAGTGTTTTGATCAAGTACTGTGTTCAGAACAAGAATAAAAGTCAATAATACGGATAGGGTCTTGCTGTACTCGCCAGACTGGCCTTGATTTCATGGTCTCTAGTGACCCTGCCTCAGCTTTCTTGGGTGTCTGGTCTACATGTACACAATATGGTATGCAGCCTGGGTTTTGGACTTCTAACCCCAAGAACCCTAAGAAAATAAATCTTGTTCAAGACATTATCTGTTGTACTTTGCTCCAGCAGCCCTAGGAAGCTCTTTAAGTGCCTAAGAAAACAAAGCAGCTAAGACCTTGTCAACAGTCACCGTAGATGTCACAATGGTCAGGAGAAACCCCCAGGAGTCTGAGTGGCAAGAAACAGTAAGTCATTCTTTTTATTTCTTTATTTATTTTAGTGTGTGAGGACAACTTGCAGGAGTCGGTTCGCTTCTTCTGTCCCACGGGCCATGGAGACTGAACTCCGGTCATCAGGTTTAGCACCGAGCGTCTTCACCCGCTGAGCAATCTCACTGCCTAGTAAGTCATTTTTAATAACCTTCATGCAACTTGTGAAGTCAACACTAGCTGCTTTACAAAGACAGAGAAGAGATTTAGAACAAAACAGCATATTTCCTAGCCCTGAAGGCAGACACGAAGCATCTAGCAACCTAGATAGTGAAAAAAATTACTTAGAACAAAATTAATTTTTTGCAATGAAAACTTTTTTTTTTTTTTTTTTTTTTTTTTTTTTTTTCGAGACAGGGTTTTTCTGTGTAGCTTTGCACCTTTCCTGGAACTCACTTGGTAGCCCAGGCTGGCCTCGAACTCACAGAGATCCGCCTGCCTCTGCCTCCCGAGTGCTGGGATTAAAGGCATGCGCCACCACTGCCCGGCTCGAAAACGTATTTCTATTGGTTTCCACAGCAGCTTTGTTAGCAAGCTATGAAATACCCCAGCAGCCAGGAAAACCCAGTTGCTTTCTGGGCCGGGGGACAAATGGCATGGATTAATTTATATATTCTATGTGTTATCATAAAACCAAAAGCGGCCAATATCTAGGAATGTATTTCACTGCTTCACTCCGGGACCCTCTCCGTGGAAGGCCATGCTCCTCTGTTACTGTGAGATCAAACCTTGGCTTAAACACTACAACTGAGTATGACCTGGCCATTCAATTACAATACAGTCCTTAGGTGGGGAGAGAGCTAGCAGAGGCAAGGGAAACTGATCTTGCCATCGTAACTTGAGAACTGGCTCACACACATTCTGTCACTCTGCTATCTATCTTTTAAACTCTCTTTTTTCTTTCTTTCCTACGCTTCAACATCCCGTTTATTTTCTTAAATATCCCAGACAGTTAATAGTTCTGTTCATGGTGATTTCTGCTCTTGGGGTAGAGGGATGTTTCTTTAAGAACTGAAGGGAAGTAACGAATAAGAGACTAAAAGGTTAAATTTACAAATCTTCACCAGGGACGCTGGCTACCTTGGTTAAATAGAAGAATTTTCGGTTAAACTCTTCAAATTGGCTGTGAGTGTGGAGAAATCTCTTCAACTCTTTGTTCGCCAGCCCTCTTTGCTTCAAGGGAAGTGATACTCACACTGTAATATTGGGGGTGTTCATGGATGAAACGATCCATCATCAAGACCCAATTAGGCAATGGCGATCAATGCCGACACTTCAGAATCTGATAAAAAATACATTCTGCACACAGCTGACAACCTCTGGGGCCATGCTGACTAGCAAGGAGCAGGCAGGCTCCACCAGGATGAATGGACACAAGAACTGAACAGGCAGAAGGAACATGGAGGCAGATGGCTCATAACATCTCAGGAGCATGCATGTCTACTCTGCACCAGACTGTCTCCAGTTCTCACGGGAACCCGGGCCCTAGGCTCTGGGAACCTGGGGCCTGGGCTCCAGTTCTCAGGGAAACCTGGGTCCTAGGCTCTGGGAACCCGGGACCTGGGCTCTGGGAACCCGGGGCCTGGGCTCCAGTTCTCAGGGGATCCCGGGACCTGGGCTTCTCTCATGAATCTAGAATACTATTAGTGAAAAGAAACAGTAATTCGACTTTTAAAAACGACTGCCCTTACGCACTCTTTTTAAAAGATATCACTTTCCCAAACAGGCTCTACAGACCCTTCTTTACAGAAAGGAGAGGGTACTGCCACAGACTCCATTCGGAAGAGAGAATAAGGAGAAGATTGAGCCTCCCTGAGTAATCGGAAGGGCCAACGAGGCAGGCGAAGCAAGCGAGAAAATTTAAGTTCAAAACAGAGACCACCTTTCCACTGCTCAGAGCTGAACACAACCGAACGTGTGCTTCTGTGTTCTCTTCCTCCTCGAGTGACCACTGCCACTCGGTCCCAGGTCAACCTAGCGCTTCCTCCAACTGCTTCCACGGCCTTTAAACTCATTCCCTCACACAGCAAGTTCACCGGGCCTCTACCGTGTGCAAGGTACTATTCTACACACCGTGAACAAGTTCACTAGGCCTCTACCGTGTGCAAGGCACTATTCCACACACTGTGGACTCGGCAAACCTCCCGTAAGGGCTTATAATCTTATAATCTCCTCTTGAGAGCATGACAGACAGTGCCAGTACCAGAAAGGAAGGTGTGTGTGTGTGTGTGTGTGTGTGTGTGTGTGTGTGTGTGTGTGTGCAGGGTTACAGCTGTAAGCAGGGAATCTCGTGATGAAGGCCTCACTGAGCAGGGAAGCCACAGCGGAGTCTACAGGAGATATGGAAGAGCTGTGCGGACACCTTGGGAAAGAGAACTTCCGGTAAAATATCTTCACCCTGTTCAAAAAGACCGGTAAGACTGGAGTGGGGACAGGAACAGAGAGGGAGAAGGAATGACCTCAAGAGACCAGGGGTGGCGGCCGCAGATCATGAGGACCTTCCGTCAGCAACTGCAACTCTGCATTTCACCCTGGAGATGGGGGGAAGACAGTGGAGGGGAGAATGGAAGCCGATTATATATGTGGGGGTTTTTGTTATGTTTTTTGTCTTACAGACAGGGTCTTACTATGTAGCCCTGGCTGTCCTGGAACTCGCTCCGTAGACCAGGTTGGCCTCAACTTCACAGAGATCCGCCCGGCTCTGCTGGGATTAAAGGCGTGTGTCACTACATCCGGCAGAAGCACGGTCACCCCGAAGCTGCTGGTTTGGAAACGAACTGTCTCTCCCACCAGTCAGATCCTGTAAAAGGTAAGAAGACACAGTGAAGCACACCCACAGCCCACTCTCAGCCACCTGGCCCCGGAGAATAAAATTTACCTCCACGCAAAAACCCCACACCTTTGATTGTTCAGAGCGGGCGCACATGTCATCGCCCCAAATTGTTAACAGCCGTAACATCCCTCAAAAGAGGACTGACCAAAAGCCTGTGGTACATCCCCACCACAGACTACTACTCAGTCGTGAAAAGGAACAAACTATTGATTGTAGCTGGAAGTTTCTCCGGTCCTACCCAGCCTGAGGTCCTGTGTTTCTGTGGTCCCCACCTGGCCCCATGGTGGGGTTCAATCTTTCCCACCCAAGTCCCACAGCCGCTTGGTTCCAAGTAAACACACAGACTTATATTATTTACAAACTGTATGGCCTATGGCTCAGGCTTCTTACTAGCTAGCTCTTATAACCCATTTCTATTCATCTATGTATCGCCACATGCTCGGTGGCATCCCATTACATGTTGCTCCTTGGACGGTGGGGTGGTTTGGCGTCTCCCTTTACTCTGGTTTCTCCTTACACGCTCTCTCTTGGATTTTCCCACGTGGTTCCATCCTGCCCTGCCAGAGGTCAATGCAGCTTTATTTATTAGTCAATGGGAATAACACATATTCACAGCATACAGAAAGACATCCCGCAACAACTGATGCTTGCAACACACACGGGTCGGTCTCAAGGATATTAAGCTAGGTGAAAAACCTCAAAAGGACATAGATTTCATGCAAAGTACGTATCTGGAGGAACACAAGGTGTACTCCTTGCAAAAAAAAAAAATAGATGAAAGGTACCTGGAATTTCTTTATATCATCTTTTCAACCTCCTGTGAATCTAAAATAATCTTAAAAATGCTTCTTTTGTTTTTCTAAAAAACACTGCAGAAAAAAAACCAAAACACTGTGTTTCATCCGGACACTGTCACGTGGAATGACACTCATTTTTGTAGTCCCCTGGCGGTACTCTCCCAACGTCTTTCGCTGTTTTGTTTTTAACTTCTCAAGCTCAGAGAACTGTTGGGCATCGGAAAAGGCTCCCTCCTTTGCCCGCTTCCCCTGGAAAATGAATCCACACATTCGTTAACCTTCCTTTATTCTATACGAATGTATAATTTCCTTTGAACCCATGAGGCTACCAAGTAAGCCAAATAAAATCTTTAACACCTTTGCTTTTGTGTCTGTATAAGAGTTCTGGTTGTACCTTTCCTGAAAGTTAGTTTTTAAGAACATGATCCTGGTCATGTCACTCCCCAGCTTAACTCCGCCCTCCCGAGCCCCACCGCAGTTAGAAGGAGTCCTGGTGCCCTTCTGCTCAGCCTGCCCCTGCTCTCAGCCCCGCCTGCAGTCTGCCATTTGCCTGACACTCCTAACCTCTTTCTTGCCTTTCTTTCTGCTCCTCAAATCACCCCATCTAACGGCTGTGGTGTACCCGTTTCCTTTGGCATGGGCTGTTGTTATGGATTTGGTTTTCTCCCAAGTGAGCTATCAGCCATTTGTCAAAGTAACACCCGTTGTCTTAGCTGGGGGGTTACTTTCTTCTGCTCTGATAAAGCACCATGACCAAACACAACCTGGAGAGGAAAGGGTTTATTTGGCTTATACTTCTACATCACATCCTATCATCAAAGGAAGTCAGGACAGGAACCTGGAGGCAGGAACTGATTCAGAAGCCATGGAAGGGTGCTGCTTACTGGCTTACTCCTTGTGGCTTGCTCAACCTGCTTTCTTATAGCACCCAGAACCACAGGACCAGGGCTGGCACCACCTACAGTGAGCTGGGCCATCCAACATCCATCTATAATCTAGAAACTGCACCTATTAGGTGCTCCCAGCTTTGGAGCCTGTCTTGGAACACCTCTATCTGGTGTCAAGCTGACATAAGACTAATCAGCACACAGGTTTCTGGGTGTACCTCGGGTGATAAAGTACTTACGTAGCAAACACAAGGCCCTAGTTCGACTCCCCATCAGTACAAAAACTCACAACCATAATCCCAGCACTTGAGAGGTACAGGCAGAAGAGTCAGAAGTTCAAGGTAATCCTCTACCACATAGCAAGTCTGAGGCTCCCTGGGTAACATGAGAGAAAAAGAGATAATATGAATGAGAACACTCTTACCCTATTCTTCTCAATAATTATGTCTCTCAATAAATACTTTTAACCTGGTGACTAATTTATTACCTGCTCCTCATTCCCTCAGTGGTCCCCAGAATCTGTTTCACTATTACATCCCTCAGAACCCATAAAGACACCTTACACACAGTAGACAAACAGTAAGTAGTTTTGACTAACACCCGGGGGAACGGATGATGTATCTGGAGATAGTGAGATCTCCACCACTGGCAGCCAAGCATGGTTTGAACAACCACGTGTCAGAGTTGTTACAAACCACAGACACCGGTTCAGTCAGACTGCTTCCTTCCTTCCTTCCCTGCCAGGCCTGTGTGTCTAAGATTCCAGAGCCACCACACCCTTTGGCTCTGCAATAAACAAACAGTCCCTTTCCATGGAAAGACAGTACGCACACTCCGCCTGCTGCAGCAGCATCTCAGCATTAAAATGTTGAAGCTAATCAGACATTTAATTTCAAAGTGGAAGGTCATTATCTTGTCACAAAATTTTATTCCAATTACTTTTTTTTTTCTATTATACGAAATGAATTAAAAGTAGCACAAAACATTGGGAGATCAAACAGTCAATCAGAAGCTCATTAAATATCATTGAAATTGGTGCAATAAAAAGCATTTCCCATGGCTGAGTTATTATTTAAAAGCTATATTCTGGATGGCTCAAGGAGTTGACATCCTGCCAATCAAAAATGTACCCTGCCCACATACAGCCCCTTGGCTTTCAAAAGTCCACCATCTCTTATTTTTGAGATAAGAGTAAATATCTAAAAAGATTTACAGCAGGAATGTAACTGCCATCCTAGCAGACTCTGTAAGGCACCCAAGAACAGACAGCAGCAAAGTCACTGTCCGATGATGTAGACCACGGAGGGGAGCAACGTGTTTACTGAGCGCTACTTACAAAGGACTGTGCAAGTGCTTGGCTCTACTACATTTGTTCCAAGAGTTGTAAAGCAACGACTTTGCATTCAAGGGGAAAAGAAAACAGCTTATTATTCTTAGCCAAAGATGAGTGACCATGGTCCAGGACACAGATTCGGTCTTCTCTGAACAACATGTTCCAGGGTAGCCCCAGTCACAGAACGAGGAAGGTGATAAACAGATACACAAGACCACTAGACAGCTGTAGAGAAGCCCCTGCCAGGCAGGAAGTCCTTTCTACAGGGTGAGATGTTAGAATCTCCTGAGCTTAAGAGACTGGCGGAAGCCAGAGGTCCACGAAGGTTCGTGACACACTGAGAGCTTAATCTGGTCACAAGGATGTCGGGCCAGACACAGAGGTTGAAAGTAAATGGCTATGAAGGATCCTAAGAGGCTCGGAGTACTTTTGGCCCTGAGTGTCTGTCAATCCACAGCCACAGTGTTCTAGTCAGCCAAGGTCAAGCAGCCTGAGGGTCTTTAATACAGTAGACACCCCTTCTTCGGGGAGCTCTGCTGTATGTTTCACGCACAGTTCTGAGTTCAGAATACCCAGGCGGGAGAAGCGGCAGTCCCAAGTTTAAAGGGGTATACAGCTCCATCCTTGGGAGTGAGTGTCCATTTCACTTTCTAGGGGTAATTAATAAGAACTTGACTGTTTTTCTCTCCCTCTTTTTCTTCTGAGGACTGAACTCAGGAGGACCTGTCATGATTCTTTTCTGGAGCTCTCTCTCAGCTAAGAATGCCATTTCCTGTGACACTGGCTAGGGAGCTGCCTTGTGTGAGGATATGAAAAGTGAAGACTGGGGGCTGGAGACATGGATCAGTGGTGAAGAGCCCTGACTGCTCTTCCAGACGACCCGAGTTCAATTCTCAGCACCCACATGGCAGTTAGCAACTGTCTGTAACCTGTCCTGGAACTCACTCTATAGCCCAGGCTGGCCTTGAACTCACAGAGATCCGCCTGCCGCTGCCTCCAGAGTGCTGGGATTAAAGGCATGTGCCACTACCGCCCAGTGAACATTTAAATCTTAAAACTCCAGAATAGCCACCTGCCACCTCCTAGATGCCCTAAACTGTTTGGCCCCCAAAGCATCAGGTACCCACTGCTCAGCCTCTGCTGGCATCAGCTTATTCAGCTTTCCCAGGATAGGGCTGGACACCAATGACTCTACAGTTTTAAGCGTCCCTTATTCCCAGGCCTGCATTAGGCACTGCCCGAGTCGGGGCTCTCTGCTGCAACCCTGCCCCTGTGACAAGTCCCTGCATGAAGCCATAACTGTCCAACATATCTTTGACCACTGGTCCCGCAGCTTGTACACTGAGTCAGCACACACAGCTACTTCCAAAGCTCACCGCTTCCGCCCTTCTGATCTAACTGGGTCCAGCTTGAGGCATACCAGGAGTAGCCCAGGAATGCTGCGCCAGAATGCAGGAGCCTTCCAAGGTGGCTCTGGGCAGCAGACACCTTTCTGGAAACCTTGTCTTCAGGGTGCTGGCTTGTCTCAAAGATCTCAGACAGTTAAGGCCCCTGTCCCATTACCCTGATGACCCTCAGCAAGGGAATCCACATCATCTCTTGAGCAAAGGGTTACTGGCTATACCCATATTATTCTCTCCTGGGCATGCTTTTTCACTCTTACCATGCCAGGCTGCAAATCTCCCCCATCTTTCTGCTCTGCATCCCCTTTAATTATAAATTCCATCGTTAAATCATTTCTCTGGTCTCTCAGCCAAAAGAAGCCGTGCAGCCAGCCCTCTGAAGGCTTTGCGGCTGCTTAGATATTTATTCTGCCAGACATCATACTTCATTGTTCTTTATGGAGAAGCTTTGCCTTCCACACACTCCGAAGGCACAGTTCTGTAGAACCAAGATGGCCTGTGCTCCAGCTTCTAAAGCTTTGATCCCCACTCCAATTGGGGATCATTAGAATGCCCTTCACCATCAGCCTGCCCTGCCTTCCTGCCTTCCCCCCTCCCTCTTCTTTTTTAAGATAGGGTGTGGATATGTATTACAAGTCAGGCCTCTTGATTGTGCCTCCCAAATGAGTGCTAGATTAGCGGGGTAGTGCTGGGATTACAGGTGCGAGCCCCCAAACCTCACTTTTCTACCATTGATCAAAACTGCTTAACTCACTGTAAACATCCCATGCTGTCTCTATAGTTTTGAGTTTTCACCAGAATCACCATTAATGCTTCATTCATACCAACCTAGGCCTTTTCACGTTTATGCTCCCCAATCTCTCATACCCTACTACCTAGTCATTCCTACATTATAAAGAAACTGCTGTTACAACAATCCCCTTCTCGTTACTTTCACGAGGTTTGCTGTGGTGATATTGTGTTCCCCAAAATATCGTGTACCTTAATAAACTTATCTGGGGTCAGAGAACAGAAAAGCCACTAGTTAGGCAGTGATAGCACACACCTTTAATCCTAGCACTCCAGAGATAGAAATCCCTCTGGATCTCTGTGAGTTCAAGGCCACATTGGAAAAAGCCAAGCATGGTGACACACACCTTTAATCCCAGAGAGTGGTGGTAGAAAGCAGAAAGATATATAAGGCGTGAGGACCAGAAACTAGCAGCATTTGGCTGGTTAAGCATTTGGCTGGTTAAGCATTTGGCTGGTTAAGCATGTGGCTGGTTAAGCTTCAGGCTTTCCAGCAGCAGTTCAGCTGAGAGCCATTGGGATGAGGACACAGAAGCTTCCAGTCTGAGGAAACAAGACCAGCTGAGAAGTTGACCAGGTGAGGTTAGCTGTGGCTTGTTCTGTCTCTCTGATCTACCAGCATGGACCCCAATAACTTGCCTCGGGTTTGATTTTATTAATAAGAACTTTTAAGATTCCTGCTACATTTGCTTTGTGCTGTTATAGCAGCATACCATAAGCTAAGCAATTTATAAAGAACGGAAAGTAGATGGGTTTTTTTTTTTTTTTTTTTGCTTTGCTTTGTTTTTGCCATTCCAGAGGCTGAGACGTCCAGGATTGATGGGCAACAACACCTGCTTAGAAACTTTTTGTTGTAACATGCATCAGAATGTGGCAGAGGCATCACCTACATGAGCACCCGAGAATTCAAACTCACAACCCCATTCTCTTTTATAGCAGGCACTAACCCAGGCTTGACATAGCCCTTCTGTAATAAATGCCTGCCCTGGGGCCCCACCTCCCTAGACTAAAAGGACTAAGTTCCCAACATGTATGTTTAGAGATGATCCCAACCATAGCAACCACTCATTTCAGTATTTGCTTTTATAGAAATGGCCACTTTGGGTTATAAATGATAGATGGTCCCTTTAGTCAGTAAAACATAAGCAACTATCGCTCCCAGTCTCTCCAGCTGTTTGAGTGGCAAGGATGACATAAATTTAGAATATATACTTAAGGGCCCGGAGAGATGGCTGAGTGGTGAACAGTGCTTGTTGCTCTTGCAGAGGACTAAGGTTCGATTCCCAGCACCCACATGGTGGCTCACAACCATCAGTGATACCAGTTCCAGACCCTCGGGCACCAGGCACCCATGCGGTACACATACACACACACACACACACACACACACACACACACACACACGCATGCAGGCAAGACACTCGTGCAAATAAAATTATCAAATCCTAGATAAATAATAAATAAATAAATAAATCTGCATCAAAGAGATAGCTCCCCCACCCCCAGGGACAAGAAATCAATTCTTTCCCAGAGGGCTGAAGGGTTTCTTCCCACCAAGCCCCATCATCACCACCACCACCACCACATCACCACCCTAACTTCTTTTCAAAAGCTAGGAGTTACCGGCAAATTATCAGGGAGCGAAGCGGGAGGGGAAAGATTTCAGTACAAAATCCAGAGCTGCTTGATAGAAAGGAAAGTGTGGGGAGGCTTGTTATCGTTTATTTCCTCCGTCTATCATTCAGTTTCATCTGCCTCCCGTCTCAGAAGTCACTCCCCCATTTCTCACTGATGTGCCTAAGAAGCATCTCCCTGGCATCTCCCTCTGTCTTTCACCAGCATTTCATTATTTCTTAACTGTCCCTCTCCCTTTCTTCCTGGTGATCCACGTGTCCTCATTTAGCAGTTTTCTGAAGCCAGGGAGAAGAAACGTTGCAAATAATGTTAAATATGATTAATATCTTGAATTCCTTGAAATATGACATGCATGAGTTACAATGAAACCTCTTTTATTTCCCCATGAAATGCTTTTGCATAATGAGAAAGAAAATGTCCTCTATGCCCTAATCAGCCCTGACAGTTCCTGGACTCCCAAATACTTTTATTTATGGCATTATTTATTTCATCTCTAATAAATGGAGGAGGGGTACAGCACCATCCGAGGAGCTTGCAGAGGAGAGGAAGGCAGTCTACGGGGGTGGGGGAAACACAGGCCCTGAAACAGCAAGGAAGACTTCTTCCGAAGGAAGGGAAATCTGGGAGATGAGAAGTCAAAGACCCGGACCCCGGAAGAAAATGGGTCACTTTCCCAAGACTAAACGGAGAGCTCTGAATAAGAAAGCAATTCCCAGATTGGAGGGGTGAGGGTCATCCATCAAGGACCTGGATAATGATGAACGAGGCTGGCACCCAAGCTTGGGAGGAGGGGATGTTGGGACTAGAGTAGGCCCAAATGAAGGATGCTTCCTTTGAGATAGAAAGGAGTAACTGGCAGCGGCCAGAACCCTTCGTTGTATTTCAAGGATCTTCTGAGGCTCCTCCTGCAAATTACTGGAGTCTTTCTTCATTCAAACAAGTATTGAGATCCCGTGCTCCCCAGAACCCCTAGCCTGGTGGCGCCAGTTAGAATGAGCAGCGCAGGAAGCGAGATCCCAGGCCACCTTGGTCTTGTAAAGTTTATGCATAAATAATAATAATGTTCAAAGCAGTCGCCATCCCCGAGGGAAGCGTGAGGTCATTTTGTTCCCTTTAATCGCACGGTCTACCAGCTCTTTTAAATTCTGAAGACCTGCCTGCATCCGAGCAACTCACTCACACGCTCCTCCTCCGTGTGGATCTGGGTAATTCCCTTTAATCTCGCGGAGCCTCAGCTTTCAAATCTGTAGAATGGAGAGAAACGACGGCGCCCCCTCTGGCTCTCTCCCAGCCCCCTATGGAGAGCAAGCGAAACAGTATGCAAGCACCAGGCCCTGAGCGCTTTCATGTTCAGCCGCCAGACAGCAAGCAGCGAGACCCTAAGGCAGGACAAACCTCCCAGCAGCCCACACCAGGTCCTTCAAGATCTTCTTTTCCGAAGGTAGGGGTGGGGGCGGGGTAGGGGGGGGGGAAGAGAGTGAGTGCAGCTTCCTTCTAGAAGAACTTACCGTCCCACCCTTGCACTCCGGCGACCCCGCCCTAACTTCTAGGTACCACCCCCTTCGTGCACTCCGAGAGTTGGGAGGTCACGCAGGAGGGCGCCGGGAACTCGCTTCCAAAGCTCGGACCCGGCCCAGGCGATCGCGGCCGCCTCACGTCCACAGCCGAGAGACCCGGGACTCCCCCTCCACCACCACCTCTTCCACCTGTCCCCACCAGGACGCCCTCCAGGTTCCGTGCTCTCCCCCTCCTGCTGCACCCCCTCCCACCCCACCCCCACCCCCACCGCCACCTCCCCGCCAACCGGGTCCCCCTGGGGCCCGCGGCCGCGCCTCCCCTCCCCCCCCTCCCGCCACCGCCACCGCCACCACCACCACCACCACCACCACCACCACGACCACGACCCCCCGTCCGAGGCTCCGATCGCGCGGGCCGCCGGGGCGCCAGGCCCCGCCCCGCCCCCCATCATCATTAGCAGATATTACCCTAAACACTTGCTCCTTACCTCCTTTCTCCCTCCAGGCATTGGCGAGGCGGGCTGTCAATCAGCGCTGGGCGGCAGCCCCCCGCGCGGGGGCTCGGAGATGCCAGGCTCGGCGACAGGCAGGAGCGGCGGCGGCGGCGGCGGCG